TTTTAATAAAAGAAAAAAAAGGAAAAAAAAAAAAGAGAGAGGGAGAGACTTTCGAAGGATGCAGAGACACCCTTATCATTTCGAACTGGACATAATTCTTAATCGGTACAATATATTTGTCCCAAAAAAATTGGTACAAGATATTTTTCTCTTTTAGTTTAAAACTAAAAATGAAAATTACCTGGGCCTGGACAGGTAGTAACGGAATCTTGGATTTGATGTAAGAGTCCTTTCAGCCTATAGAGCCGATCACCTACATATTGAAACAGATAGAAAATGGGCCTTACGGCGAATTGGGCTTCCTTATAAAATCCAAAATGTGAAACAAGTCAAAAAAATTCAAACTTAAGGCCCATCGATTCAAAACAAAGCACAGTCCCCACTGCTCTCCTGACATTGTTCGACGTGTCACTTCAATGTTGGCTCATACTTTTTCCAGACCAAAACACTTTCTCCTCTGCCAAGGCCAAAATGATTCAAACAGCCAAATGTGTCCTTCGGTTTTCAAGTCAAGAAATCATCAAAATTACTCCTTCCCGTTTCAGTTGCCGACCGTTACTTCCTTCTCTTTCACCCTTTTCCATTCTTGCTCTCTCATTATCACTTCTACTACACACTGCATTCTCTCATTCAGACTCCTAACTCCAAAAACAAGACAAAACAGCAGAAGAAAAGTGAGTTCTTTAATTCTTTCTATGTTTCGGAAGCTCTTTGCATCTTAGCAATTCCAATGTGAATATTTTGTTTTGTTTTTGAAATTAATCAAGTGTACTCAAAGGTGAAAGTGAGGCCGGAACAAGATGAAGATGACAGTGGTCCAGTTCAATTTTTAGAGTCTTTCTCCGGCCAAGGTAATTAATACCAGCTGCCACTATTTTTCACTAGGATATATCAGTACTGCTTCTAATTATACATCCTATATTCCCATGTAGTGTATGGTTTTATTTTCCCTCTCATTTCTGTGCAGAGAAGGAAAATCAATGGGATTCTGATTCTCCACCTATAATTGCCAGAGTCACCAATGCTAATTCAATTTCAGCTTCTAAAGGTTAATTATTTCTCTTCTACATACTACATTCTAAATGTTGTTGCTATCTAATTGCTTGAATTTTCGAGTAAAGCGGTTCTTGACATGGTATTGAGACCTTTTGACTCGTATGACTTATGTACTCCACTCTCCACATTGAATTAGTGGACCTGTTAGAAATTAAACTCACATTATAGGTTAATTCTGTACTTTTTCTTACTCTTAATTATGAAATGCATTTTGACAGTGATGAATAACCAGAAGAACAATGGTGAGGAGAGAAAGTTAAGTGGAAGAGCAGCTTCAGTTTCACGCCCTCATGCAGTTTTGTTTGGTCCTCGTAATCTGAATTTCACTTGTTTTACTTGTTTCTTGTTAATTATCTAGGATTGTTAGTGGAATTGAGATGAATCTTCCACCTTGATAAGATATGAACCATATTGATCGGGAGCATAGGCTTTGTTGAGTAAAAGATTGACATAGTAGTTCTAAAGGAAGTCACTTCTTCCAACACTGAGAATATAAATTGAGTCCTTGATAACGAGTGCAGATCTGTTACTTCCAGCTAACTTTGCTCACTTTTTCTGGTACTCCTTGTAATACTCCAATTGCTGTGACAATGGGATAGCACGCTGCAAAATACTAAAATTTTTTGACAAAAAGGGAAAGAATTGTTAGATGAATATATGCATGAGGTGGAATTCAATTTCTCACATTTATGATGGCAACTTTGTCATCATAACCATATGCAGCTGAAGCAAAATTGGCCCCAATTAAAAGATTCCTTCCTGATGCTTCCAGGCTTGGA